CAATTGTGTATGCTTCATGATCAGACTCAAATCCAGCAAGTGTCATTATTATACCACAATGTGACGTTAAAAACCTTGAAAACAAGACATTCTCCTATCTCTTACTCATGAAAACAAACCACACACTCATAAGATTATAACAATAAGGAAGAAAGAAACTTAATAACAAAATAGTTATAAAATGACAAATAATGAAATGATGAGTTTTTTGAACTCTGCTCATGTAAACATGATAAAAGCATGTGCTGTGATAGTTGTTGAACTGTGTTTGTGTCTGTAGTATCAGTGTCCTCATCAAAGACGTTTAAACTGAGACTGAAGGAGGAGTTTCAGTATCTGAATGAAACACCTGGAGAAAGACAAAGCCTGAATGATGTCTTCATTGAACAACACATCACAGAGGACCCTGATTCTCACATCAGTGATGATAGACAGATCATGCGCAACGACATGTTTGAAGGCCAGCATATCAGGAGCCTTTTGCTGAAGGGAGATGCCGGCACTGGAAAAACTGTGACTGTGCAGAAGTTCATCCTGGACTGGGCTGAAGAGAAATCAAACACTGATATCGATTATATATTTCCAATACCTTTTCAGAAGCTGAACATTATCAGAGAGACGGTGAAGAAGTGTAGCTTCACGGAGATTCTGCAGCATTGCTTCGCAAACACTGAATATCTGAAACTCGAGGACTCTGAGAGGATCATGCTGATCTTTGATGGACTGAATGAGTTTAAACTTCCTCTAGATTTCCCAAACACAAAGAAGATCACTGATGAAAATGAGCCAGGCACAGTCTCTGGTCTACTGGCAAACGTCATCATGGGAAATCTGCTTCCGAACGCTCAGATCTGGATCACCAGCAGACCAGCAGCAGCCAATCAGATTCCTGATGGATTTATTGATCGCGTGACGGAGATCCAAGGCTTTATTGATCTACAGAAGGAGGAATATTTCAGAAAGAGCATTAGTGATCAGAGAATGGCTAATAAAGTCATCAGTCACATCCAGACATCAAGCCGCATCAGCAGCATGTGTTATTTACCAGATTACTGCAGAATCATCGCAGCGATTCCAGAGAAGATGTTCAGTACACGCAGTGATGATTTCCCCAAGACCCTCACTCAGATGTATAGCAGACTCCTGTTAGCTCAGACTGAACTGAATCAAGTGAGTAAAGAGACCGTCATAGCTCTGGGGAGAATAGCGTTTCATCTGCTGCTGAATGGAAACTCTCTCTTCTGTTATGAACACTTAAAGAAATGTGGCATTAGAGACGAAAGTGTTCTGATACGCTCATCAATCATAAAGAAGACTGAAGACCAAAGCAAGCGTAAATTACTCTGTTTCGTGAATCACAGAATACAGGAGTTTCTGGCAGCTTTATATGCGACTGAAGTCATTAATGGGAACAATCAGCTCCAGCTCAGAGATCTGTCCGGTCTAGACCTTAACTACTATAACTCCCAGAATGTGATGAAAAAAGCTTTAGAAAGACAGATGGATCTTTTCTTCTGCTTTTTAATGGGTTTGTCGCTGGATTCCAGTCAGAGAGCTTTAAAAGATCTCCTGAAACAGAGAGAAAGCAGATCTTCAGTCAGTCAAGAGGCAGTTAAACACATCAAAACAGTGATCATGCAGTCTTCTCCAGAAAATACAGACAAATGCAGTCTCCTGTTTGACGCTTTGAAAGAGCTGGATGAACGATATTTAATCCAGGAAATAAAAACACAGCTGAAATCTGGACTCAAACCCTCTCCTGCTCAGATTTCAGCTCTGATGAATTTAGAAAAGTAGCTGAATGAGCTTAAGTCACATCGATCAGAGGGTCTGAGGAAGACGAAGGGGAATCAAGGATTGAGTGATTCATTCATCACTGATCGGTCACAGATCATTTAACAGTGAATTTATAAATAATAGCTAGTTGTTTGGCGAGCACATTTTTCTCGCTCTACAGGCTGAAAAAATCCTAATCAACATGATTCCTGGGCCACTTTTATCTTACCACTAAGAGTTCTCCTAAATAGCATTAAAAGCTTTTAGCTAAGAGTTTTCTCTTAAAGCTGCAGAGACAAACCTTTACTAAGGAATATAGAGCAGTCTTAAGCTCAGAGTAAGGGGGCGGGGTTTACCTCGTTGCTATGGATGATGTCAGCGTGCTTATTAACTATGCACACAGTGATTGGCTGATAATCTCTGTCAGAGATTTATTCATAGAAATATTGTAGAGCATGATATTATGTTGACACATTCAAATAAAGATTTTAAAATGCAGGCTAAGTGTCATATGTTCAGATAATTGTCAGCCTCTTAGATGTGTGCTTCTCGTAAACAATTAGCGGATGTGCATATAAACAGCCTTTTAATTAACAGTGGAATAATCATGGCTGATAGTAAGACATGCAAACGTAAAAGAAAACCAAACTGGACTTAGAAACTGGATAGTTTGTGGTTTAGGAGTCCTCTTCACTGCTCCTAACCTTTCACAGATTTAGGAGCTAGTTTTAGTGCTAAGACGCTTTGTGAAATACTCTTAGAGCAAACATTTAGGACTGACACGCCCATTATTTTTAAGAGTTTCTCCTAAATCAACGAGTTATGAGCTACTTTTAGCCTTAAGATGTTTTGTGAACACGGACCCTGATGTCTCAAAGTCACAAGTTGAGTAAGATTACCATTAAATCAATGATTGAGATTATATGTGCAAAATTCAGTGTGATTACGTTAAAGATCCGCATGTGAACTTTTAAAGATTTTGGATTTTTGCTTTAAGATGTGACCTTGGAACTTGTGTTAAATATCTAAGTGTACTTTTTCATTTTGTGTGCATCAAGATAAACTTCAAAAGATAACAAAATGTGTCAAAATCATTTTGATATACTGAATAAAAGCATAAGTTTAACAAATGCAACATTGTGATGTAATTTTTGTCACCATTTTACACATTTTGTGTTTTAAACATAAAAACAATCGTCGTATCCACATTTAGCAGTTTTTAAAAACGATAATAAAAGCTGATAATAATAATAATAATAATAATAAAATTAAAGGCTAAAAGTTGATATGATTCTTTAGGGTCTTAATGAAAAGTCTGTAACATAGTTTGGTTAAAATTTCTCAATAGTAGTGTAAAAAACACCTTTTTTACCCTGTCAAAAACAGCTCTGTTCAGATCAAGCCGTTTTGTAGCATTTTCCTTTAAATGTTAATGAGCTCTGCTGACTCCGCCCCTCTCTTCCGAGCCGCTCTCTGAGGGGCTGTTTACTTTAGCCGCATTAATCGTGAAACTTGCTTATTAGCACATAATTAGGAAAGGCGATTTGCAAAGATTCATTACAAAACATTATACTCACTTCTTCTGTAGGTGAAGCTGGATCATGAATGATTTGCGCGAACATAGACGCATTTATGTAGATCGGGGGCGCATTCCCTTCAGAAACAATGTAATCCACTGCGTCTTCAGCGGCTCAGATGTCGGGAGTAAATGACGACTGCTGTTCATTATTACATCCAACAACAGAACACCTCAATCACTCAGGAGTCATTCTTGTCTACATCTGCTCCGGCGGTGAAACACTGGCGGACTGATGACAGTCACTCAGGGCGGAGCTAAGACACCAGTCCAGTCTGTGCTGAAACGCTACTGTCAATCAAACTATCGTGGGAGGGGCCTGACAGTGTGACGTCACACAGACAGGCATCTGAGATCGGCTCGATTTGAGAAAGGGGTAAACATTTGAGTAGATTAAAAAAACACTGGGTGGATTTTTATCATTATAGGGTGGTTGTGTACACACACTGCCAACACACATTTCAGTTCCAACAACTTGTAAAAGTGCATGTAGCATCCGGTGACCCCTTTAATCTAGATTTAAGGTTAAATGAACACTTGAGAGGCGAAATGAGTACAAACTATTTCAAGACCCTTGTACACATGACATTTGTTTCCCAGCTGAATGATTTAAACCGCTGATTTGACTGAATTCTGTCCATCGATTTGCTCATGAGGAAGGATGCTTAGCTGGTGTACACACTCGCCTGTATCACCTGTGTGCCATTTAACAAATGAATTCATCAGAAACACTGCTCACTTTGGTGAACTCGTGAATGAACAGCAAATAGCAACACACACATGGTCATGTGACTTCAGATAAAGCACATCAGGGGCCTGTTTCATAAAACAAGTTTAGCAAATAAGCCAGGTTTATTTCAGTACTCACACTAGGCACGCTCGCCTTGAACCGAGCCCAAGCACGAACATCTAGTAGAACAAAAATAGAAGGGGTAGAAAAAAACAAAAAACTAAATATAGTAGAAAATCTAAATAAAATTTGAAATGCTACAATATATTTATCTATCATTAATAACCTAAGTGTAACATCAGCAATTATTTATGCATACAATTTAAAAAATATTTTATATAACCAGTATTTTTTTTTTACTGAAACAGCATAAATTTAGAGCCAACATGCATGCAATTATAAGTTATTTATTTGAGGATTATAAATACGTGTGTGTATGTTTACATATGAGAAACATACTTAAATTGTTTAATTCATTAATTCTATATTTTTTATAATAAATAACATTCTTAAAATACATCTTAAAATATAAATAAATATAATCTTAAAATATAAATAATACTTGTAATATAACAATATATAATATAAACAATATATATTTTTAAATGCACAATTAAGTTAAACTGTTATTATTATTTGTAGCAATGCTTTTACTGAAGCAGCATACATATATATGTGTGTGTGTGTGTGTGTGTGAGTGAGTGAGTGTGTGAGTGAGTGAGTGTGTGTGTGAGTGTGTGTGTGAGTGTGAGTGAGTGAGTGAGTGAGTGTGAGTGTGTGTGCGTGCGTGTGTGTGTGTGCGTGTGTGTGTGCATACAATTAAGTTTGCAAATTATTATTATATTTGTTACTATTAGTATAACTACACGAGCGTTCTGTGCTCTGATGTTTCTGGCTGGGTGTTTCTGGAGTTGGTCCTCCGGTATCCCATAATGCGTCAGTGTCCGCGCTGGTAAATCGCGCATGCGCAGTAGCTCCCTCTCTTCGGCTCCGCACCTCTTCTGCTAGAATGGTGAGTGTTTGTCTGAGCGCGGAATCATCAAACATCTTCTCCATCTCGCTCAAACAGCGCACTTTTCTCGTCTCTCTATCCTCTCGATGTTAAATAGCACCCCATCGCTGCTGTATGTGTGCGCACAGGCGAGCAGAACGGCTTTATTATGATAGCTTGTGTCGCTGTCAGTGAAGCCGATGAAAACATACCGAGTTTGATCGCGATAATCGTGGATAAACCGCGTGTTTTAACCTGTAACGCGCTGTTCTCTGTCTTAATGATGCTGTAATGACATTAGTGTGACTCTCAGGGCATCTGTGACCGAGCTGAGGTCTGTAGGTTGATAGTTTTCTTCACTAATTAATGTGGTGTATTTCTCATTCATTCAGATGTGAAGACTTCAAACTCTTCTTCTGCACAGTTTATATTCCTCTACAGCTTTACTAAATAACTTTGGGTACACTTTAGTTTGGGGAGCAATTTTTAATATTAACTATTATTAAACTCCAAATTTCCTTTTAAGGGATTTAAGATATGCTCATGCAGAATATGGTGTTTATATGTGCTTCAGAAGTACTAATAAACAGCCGATATGCTAGCAATGTGCATTGTAGTGAGCAACTAGAATTGTTTTAGAATTTAATACCGTCAACATTAGATCTGTGCAAGTTATGGAAGCTTATTAATATACAACAGAATAAAAAAATGAATGTTAATTGTGACCGACAATCTCACGGTTTTGACCTTTTTTCCCTCTTATCTCTTAAGTTTTCAGAGTTCTGAGATATAAACAGAATTGTGAGGCGAAAAGAGTTGGCGATGTTGACTTGCTGCTGCTTGTTTATAACCGTGGAAGCTTATTTCTGTCCGAGAATAAAAAAGAGCAGCTGTGACTTCACACTCACAGTTCAGACTGTTTGTCTTGTAAATTTAATTAAAAAAAAATAATAATAATTTTTAATGTCTTTTTTATTGCTGTTCTCAGATTTCACACTTTTGAAGTCCAAATTGCGAGAGGAAAAAAAGTCTGAATTGTGAGATGTTGATTTGGGTTATAGCTATAGAAGCTCATCTCTGCCACAGAATAAAGTTATTGCAACTTTTCTCACAATTCAGATTTTTAAAAAATTTTTTGCAATTCCGAGTTCATCTCAATTCAGACTTTTTCCCTTGCAATTCAGTTCATATCTCACAGTTATGAGAATGAACAAAAAAAAAGAATTGCGAGGAGGGAGAAAGTCAATCTTGATGAGTTGCAGTTATGAATTTTATTCTGTGGTGTAAATGAGTTTTAATATTACGCAGTCGTTCAACAGACTTTCATCAAAAGTCATTTTTGCTAATTCGAAGTCTTCAGGAACTCATGAGACTCGTCTGTCTGATTTGAAAGCTCCACATTTATTGAAGTGTTCGTTTGTTTTTCCCGCTCAGGCCAAGCGCACCAAGAAGGTGGGGATTGTGGGGAAGTACGGCACCCGTTACGGTGCGTCGCTCAGGAAGATGGTGAAGAAGATCGAGATCAGCCAGCACGCTAAATACACCTGCTCCTTCTGCGGCAAGGTGAGACGCACACCAGACACTCGTGTACTGCACACGAGCGGTCAGAAGAGCTCTTCTGCTCACACAGCCTGCATTTATTTGATCAGAAATGCAGCAAAAGCAGTAATATTCTGAAATATTTTTACTATTTAAAATATCTGTGTTCTATGTGAATGTGTGTTAAACTGTAATGTATTTCTGTGATGCACAGCTGTATTTTCAGCATCATTCCTCCAGTCTTCAGTGTCACATGATCTTCAGAAATCAGTATAATATGCTGATCGAGAAACATTTATCAATATTTAAAACAGTTCGTACACTTTTTTTTTTTTTTTTTTTTTTTCTGGATTTTTTAAAGA